GCTTTCCTGGGAGCACTGCTGTGCAGATTAAATCAGCCGTGACACTCCGTGCTCGTGCACCGGCTCTCAGGCTGTGCTGAATGCTCTAGAAACGCCCCTTCTTCCTGGGAGCTTGTCGACTGCCTGGGAAATTACCAGAAGCAGAAAACTTTTGCTCTCCTCTCGGCTGCAGGAAGTGGAGCCTCTTGCTTTGGACGCGGGCTGACCCGAGCTTCTAGGTGGCAGCAGGTGTCTGCCGTGGCTGGAAGGCGCCTCTGCCTGCACAGGCCCCTGAGAAGACCTTACCTTTGGAGAAGCCTGGAAAGAGGCCTCGTGACCGAAGTCTCCCTAGAGTGGGGACGCAGGGCGTTTGAGACCTTGAGGGCAGGTCACGCCGTCCCAAGACATCAAGCTCTATTTGCAAGACCCAAATCACTCAGTTTTTGGAGAAGCAAGGAAATGGCTATATGCTCTTCTTAGCGAATCTCCGGAGAGCCAGCAAGCCTCCTCCAGAATGAGCATGCTGAGCGATCAGGGCTCTGGGCACCTTCCAGCACCTTCTGGGGAAGGGGAGGGTGGAGATGAGAGGGGAAGTGTTCTTTTCATGCGGGGCTGCGAGGTTCTTTTATCCGCCCCTCCCCGCTGCGTAGCCCACAGAGGAGGCTGGAGTGAGCCCCTGGGTTTCACACACGAGGCTGTTTTGGGTTGTTTTTCACTTTGTGAGCCTTTCACATTCATTCTTTGCCTTTCCACTCAGTTCTGTAATATCACCTCCACGTTTTGATTTGCGTCATTGTCTGATGACAAGGAAAGTTCTCGTTTTGTGGGCACCTACTGTGTGCCGTGCTTTGAGGCCTCACAAAGATCACCTTATTTAGCCTTTGAAAGAGCCCTGGGGAGTGGGGGGTGAAGTCCCTGTGTTATGTGAGCAAATGGAAAGTCAGAGGGGTGGAACCACTGCTCTGAAGTCACACAGCCGGTGAGATGCGGGGCCAGGTTGAGACTCAGGTGTGTCTGACCAAATGTAAAATCCTTTCTTCTTTCTGCCACACCACCGCCCTCTCTGGTGTTTCCTGGGCGGGGGACTCTCGCCAAGGTGAGGTGGGTTCCATCTGCTCACGTTGTGTCAGCTGGTCCAGCTCAACCAGGGGGCTGCTCTGGGACGCGGACGGGTCCTGCTTAAAGGATTGGGCTTCTCTCTCAAGGAGCAGTGTTGTTTGTTGGTGTTGACTTCTGTTGTCTGTTTCTTTCCTTCCCTCCGTCTCCCTTCCTCTCCCCCATTCCCTCTCTCTCGTTCAGCAGGAAGAACACTCTTAACCTTATAATTTAGCACTTACTCGTATTTCATTGAGGACCTGATCTGCACTTTCTGACCTGTGGTCATAGATCGTAGAGCAGCTGTGAGGCCACCAGATGCCAAGGTCAGATAAGGGTGTGGCTCAGAGCCTGATGACCCGGGGTTCTCATCCTGGCTGTGCCCTGTGTTGACTGGGGCAAGTTGCCCGACCTTTGCAAGCCTCAGTTTCCTCATCTATGAAATGGGCCCATCCTACCTGGAGTTGTTGTGATACCTGTAAAACGTGAATGCAGTGCTTGGCCTGAGGGAAATACACTGCATTGTTGGTGACGGTGACCATTCATTGATCATATTGAACAAAATAGACAAGGTCCCTGCTCCCATGGACCTCGTGTTCAGGTGGGAGAGAGAGAGCCTAAGAAATAACTAACTACACAAGAAAATTTCAAATGGTAAAGAAGTAACTATTCCAGCGCTGTGCTAGTGAATGTTCAATATCCAATTCTCCGGAAAAAAAGATCCGTGATTTGTAGCACTTGCCAATTTTCGTTGTGTAAATATTCCTACTGTGGCTGATTTCAGGCTACCCAAGTGACGTCCACTGGCTTTTAAAATTCCTAAAAATTTAACAGTTGCAAGGCTGAAAGAGCTGGCTAGCTCCAGTACTGGGTGTATGTCAGTAATGAGGTTCGGGAAAGACCTGAGGATCTGAAACTAAATGTACTGGTGGAAGAGTATGCCAAGCAGGCAGGATGGTTGTGCAAAGGCCCTGAGGTCAGAACGAGCTTGGAGTGCTCAGGGAACAGAAGGATGGCTGGTGTTGGCAGGAGGCTAATGGTGTAGAGAGAGAAGGCAGAGGCTAGGCTGTTGGAAGCCTCAAGACCACGGCACCAAGTTTGGATTTTATTCTTAGGCCACGAAGTCTTTGGAGGGTTGTAAGCAGGGGCGTGTCTGGGTCTGATTTGCACTTTTTAGAGATCATTGGGCTGTTTTGTGAAAGACCAGGAAGAGGCCAGTTAGAGGACAGTGGTGGCCACTCAGGGGGAGTCCTTGGTGGCTTGGACTAATGTACCAGCAGGGGAGGGGGCAGAAGTGACTGGATTCAGGTAGAGCCATGGGGACGTGAAAGATTTTATCTGCAGGTAGGTGTTCCCTGGCTGTTTGTCATGAGTACACCCAGCCTGCGATTTCTGCTCTTCTGTCATCGGGAAGAGGAAGGAACCTCAGACCATCAGGGCCCACTATCTGTTTTACCTACTTTTCTTCTCGATGCCCTGTAACACTGTTTACCACTTCCTGAGAAATCCACGATGTGCGAGGAGGAAATATATTTACCTTGAGCCCAAATGTAAAGCAAAAACAATAAGAAAACAAAATCTCTTCTCAACACTGCCCTTCTTCCTTTAATTTTTATCACCGAGAACAGTCCCCTGTTCTCCAGTGTGCGTAGGGGAGAAAGATAAGAGGCTCTGACTTCATTTCCGTTTTGCCCTGGGCTGCCTCTCAGGTGTGTATCAGACACGTATCTAAGTGTCCTGGGTGTCGGCCTGGCAGGTTATGAAGAAGGTTGTCATCTGGCTCTGCTGCATCCCAGCCTGTCTCTCTGTATAGTTTGCAGAAGGGCTTGAGAGAGCGCCATCTTTCTGGACTGGCATTGTCCAATAGAACTTTTCTCGAAGATGGAAATGTGCTGTGTCTGTGCTGTCCATTATGGTAGCCACCAGCCATTAGTGGCTACTGAGCACTTGAAATGTGGCTAGTGTGATGGAGAGACTGAATTTTCAATTTTATTTAATTTTTGTGTTATTTACTGTATTGGAGAGCACAATTCTAGACCACGTGTAATCGTCCATTGCTTAGGAGCCTTCGTTATTCGCAGTTGACTGGAGAGCCTACTGAAATTTCTGCAACTTCATGGAAGGGTGGGATCTTGGTGAGCTGTCACTTGTCATAGACCCCCTCAATTTGCAGAGAAAGGAATATGCACAGAAGGGCAAAAGGATTCAATGATTTTCCCAGCGTTTCTCAGCTGGGGAGTGGCAAGACAGGAACCCATCTTCAAACTCTCAACTCAACATCCAGTGTTAATTTCACGAGTTTCCAGGTATCTCTTCTTCCTATAACATTGTCAATAAAGTTAAAGTCCTCTTTGACCACCTTCTCAACCTTGATCTCCTCCCTCATCCCTAGAAATGATCCTGGTGTGGTCACTTTGGAGTGCATCCTCTCACACCTTCTCCTATTGCATTTACATGTGTATAAATGGATGGATTGAAAACATTCAGCATTTTAAAAATAAGTTGTATCACACTCTCTGTATTTTTCTACAAATTGCTTTTCTCTTTCAACAGTATGTCTTAGATCTGGATCATTTCATAGATCTCTACCTTCCTTTTTTTTAACTGCTGCAGTCTTCGATACCCTGGACATGTCATACTCCTCGTAAGCCTATTGATGGAGCTAATTATTTGTTATTCCATTTGTTTTACTAAACATTTTTGTGCATGTCTCCTGCATGCACAGTATTTCTCCTAGGGTACATACTGAGAAATGGAATTGCTGGGTCATGTGGAATACGTATTTTTAATTTTAATAGCTGCGACTCCAATACTCTTTAAAATGGTTACACCAATTTATGTTTCTGTCAGCTGCCTGAGAGTGCTTGTTTCCCCACAGTCTCCCAAACACTTGATATTCTCAGATATCTACATGCGTGCCAGTCTGACGGGTGAAAAATGGTTATCTCGTGGTTGTTAGATTTGCACTTTCCTGTTTATAAGTCAAATTGAACGTCTTTTCTATGCTAATGGCTATTTGTTTTTCTGTGAATTACCTGTTCAAATCTCTTGCCCATTTTTCTGTTGGATAGTTATATTAATTCATTCAACAAACATGTACTAGAATGCCTACCATGTGCCAAGCATTATTCTAGGTGCTAGGGATTTTGTGGCAAGTTAAATAAACAGACATCCCTGCTCTCAAAGGGGATAGTCTCGTTGTAGGAGAAAGAGCTAAGCAAAACAGAATTGAGAAAATATTTAGTATGTTATATGGCATAAAAAGAAGGAAAAGGAGAGAGGGAGAACCACTGGGGATGGGACTCAATTTTAAATAGGATGGCCAGGAATCTTGTTCTTATTCACTTGTACACATTCTTTATATATTCTAGGTACTAATCCTTTGCCTGTTATATGTTGCACATATTTTCTTCCAGTCATTAATTTCCTTTGGACTTAGATGGGGTACTTTTGCTTTGCTCTCTCTTTTTTTTAAATTACAAAATCTAACTTGTTAAGTGGAATATATTCATGTAAAAAGTGAAAGTTCATTCTTCTGATCTTCCCATTGTCAAGAGTTCTGGTTTGTCTTTTCACATTATTTTCTATCCTCACTACATGCAACACTTCCCTTCCCCAACCCCCAACCAGCAATTAATCATAGTTTCTGGCTGTTTCTCAGTAATTGCAATTCTGATTTACCAAATTCTTTCTCGTGGCTACTTAATATTCCATTTTAGAGAAGATCCGTGTAATTTATCTAAGAAGTCCCCTCTGGCTGGACATCAAGCTTGCATCCAGTTCTCTGTTCCTCCAGACGCTGCAGCAATCCCGTGCTCTTACCACTGCCCATGAGTTTCCTGATCTTTTCTGTTTGTTGGTCTCCAGCCACCATACCCTGCATGTTAATGTTGCTGTAATATTTTTATTTGTTTTCTGCCCCCCAGCTCCACGGCTACATGGAAAACAAGCCCCTGGGACTTCAGATCTTCATTGGGACAGCCGACGAGCGGATCCTTAAGCCCCATGCCTTCTACCAGGTGCACCGGATCACAGGAAAAACCGTCACCACCACCAGCTATGAGAAGATCGTGGGCAATACCAAAGTCCTGGAGATCCCCCTGGAGCCAAAAAACAACATGAGGGCGACGTAAGGGCTGGGGCTGAGGGTGGTGGGTCTTTATGGGGAGGAGAGTGGGGCCAAGGGGCAGGGATTTGGGACAGGGGACTCTATGGGGTTGGAGGAAGCAGCCATGGATGGTGGTTCCCACTGTGTGATGGACCCATAGAGATTTCTGTTTTAAAAGTTCTAGACCTAAATATTTTTCACGTGTATTAGACATAAGAATACTCATGCATCTTTGGATTTGGTTGTTTGGGATAAGGTTAAATTTATTTACATTTAAAAAATTTATTTGACCTAAAGAAACTCACAAAGCTAATATGCATATGGCTAAAATTTGGGAAACATTGCACCCATGTATTTGAGTTTAAACAACTTTATATTAGAAAATAATCTCAAACTTACTGAGGAACTGCGAGAATCATACAAAGAATTCCTGTATACTGTTTACTCAGATTTACCAATTGTTAACATTTTCCACATTCACTCTTATCACTCTTTCTCACCCTCTCTCCGTTTTCTCCTGAACCATTTGAGAGTTAGTTGCAGACATCAAGGCTGTTACTTTTAAATATTTCATCACGCATTTCCTAAGAATAAGATTGCTCTTATACTTCTAAGTGACTTATCAAATTCAAGATATTTAATATTGATACCCTACTGTTATCTATTGAATAATCCATAATCAATTTTCGCCAGTTGTGTATTTGAGTTTTTCGGATACTTCTAAGAGTACAAAAGTTGGCATGAGAAATCTCCCTGGGGAAGTAACTTCCACTGGGGAATGTCTCTACTTTGTAAGTGTTTCATCTCCGTCTTGGATAAATTCCTGGCTGAAATATTTATCAGTGCATTGCAATTACCCCTGTCGGGGGCTGCAGAGTTATTTTGTTTAACTGACTAGGATGGTTTCGTGGGTGATCTTTCCTGCTCACTAAGGTGATCAGTTAGAAATGGGGGTTTCAACCTTCCGGCAGCATCGACTGTGCTGGGATCCTGAAGCTCAGAAATGCCGACATTGAGCTGCGGAAAGGCGAGACGGACATCGGAAGGAAGAACACGCGGGTGAGGCTGGTCTTCCGGGTGCACATTGCAGAGTCCAGCGGAAGGATCGTCTCCTTGCAGACTGCGTCCAACCCCATCGAGTGCTGTAAGTGGGGCTCTGGGCAGGGTCGGTCGTGGGAAAGTACTGTCCATGACCTTCTACCCCGGGCAGTGTACCTGGGCCAGGTACCCAGCAAGAATACACAGGACCCACAAGGATCCACAGTGGGCCCAAGATGACCAAAGGGGCCCGACAGAGCACATTTAAGGATTCTCTCTACTTCCATTTACTTGTGGAGGGTTTTGAGGCCTCTCAAGAGATTGAAAAATAATACGGCTGATGCGTAGCCTACAGCTTTGTTTAGAAGATTCGAAGTGTATGAATGTTCTGGTCTTAGAAAGGGTAGATGCAGTTGGACTGAGTTGGTTGTACGTAGTGCCCCCTTCTTTTCCTCCTCTTCTTTCGGTAGAGTAACAATAGTATCACAGTGGCTCTCGCTTATTGAGTGTGACTCCATGGGTCACGGTGCTCTGCACTCAGCATGCAGGGCTCATTTGATATTCCCAGCAATCCTTGGGAATAGCTGGTGTCATGATGCCCATTTTACAGGAGAGGAGGGAGAGAGATGAGGGGTTGGGTAACTTGTCCGTACAGCCATCAGGGGCGGGGCTAGGATTCTAACAGGAGCTTTGGCAGGCAGGGGCCATGCTCCCCCGTCACCCTCAGCTCATTTTCACATGTTTACTGAGAATATGCTCGGTGTCCAGTGCTGTGCCGGGGATCTGCAGATGAGTCAGACTTTTTCTCTGTCCTCAATGAGTTTACAGTCTGGTGGAGACAAAGATACCCAAACAAACATGCAGAAGATTGTCAGAATCCAGTACACAGTGGCCAAGATCCACCATCTGGAAGGGCTCTGAGCAGAGAGCTGCCTCAACTCTATCAGGCTTCAAAAGAACCAGCTGCTTGGAGCTCATTCTCAGGCACTTTTGCAAGTTTTGTTGTTGGTTTTTGCAATTAGATGTGACAAAGCTTATTGTCTGCTCAGTTTTTGAGAGTTTAGGTATCATTTTTAAAAGCATAAAGAAGAAAAAAGTGAACATTGTTTCAGAAACAAAAAGTGGTTGTTATTTTTCAGTGTTTTTCTTCTAAGAATATTTTTGTGTTACAGTCATGTTTCAAATTCAATTATGTTGCAGGAATTTTTTTTTTTTGCTTTTTACCAGACATTTTACCGTAACTAGGTGTCACAAAATCAATTGCTTACAGAGGCCAGGAGGTCGAGGAAATGAGTGAAGTGGGTTGAGTGGGCAGCAGTAGGGAGTGGTGGAGACTGGGGACCAGGATGGCACATTTCCCACCTAAATGGGCTGCTGCGACTCATCTCCAGCTAGGATTTCCATGTGGGAATGCAGAATCGGTGTGGCCAAATCTTCTGATTTTTTTAAGATAAACCAAAAATCTCCTGATTTTCAAAAAGCAGCAACATATTCAAAATACTCTGTGAATCAGACAAAATCTGCATATGGCTTCAATTAATCAGGGGTAGTCTTAATCAGACACTAATGAGTAAAGGGAAAGCATGAATATTTTATGCAGAAAGGGTTGAGGAAGACTGGTCCTCGGGATTCCAAGCCAGCAAGAAGAGAGAGTGGACCCTCTTTGGGAGAAAAGCCAGAACTTGGTCTTGGTTGGTCTTGGGACACGGACAGAGGAGCCCTCTGGTTTCTTCCAGCCATGCAGACGGGGCTGAATGTGGTGTTCAGTTTCTGCTCTGCTGTGAGAAGAGAAAGACCCAACAGCAGACAACGAGGGAAAACAAGTGTTGAGAAGCATGTCATCACAGGAACGTTGGAATTCCCCTCTTCTACCCAGCAGACCCCACCCCTGTCCCCCGAGGGCTAGTCGTGGTGGCTGCCTCACCCTGGCCTTGGTTCTGAACTTCTCAAAATGTTTAGGGAAGGAAACTCAGGCTCTTCCTCAGTGATGTGGGGGATTTTGAGAAGATAAGGTCTCCCCTTTCTGGCAGGTGACTCACTCTCCAGGATGGGGCTGTGGTTTGTTGCAAAGTGGGGAGCAGGAGGCCTCCAGAGGGACCATACACAGGAGCCCACATCCCTCTCCAACTCTGGGTCCCTTAAGTCAACTATCTCATGTTGATCTAAGACTTTAAGGATCGTCACTGAACCACGCGCACCTCCAGCAAGATGTTCAAGGCGTTATAAAGTTGTTTGAGCCTTGAACATAGGGTTTTTTCTTTTCTTTTAAAATAGCGTTAGGCTGATTCAACTACCTGGTTTTGACAGATAAGGAAACTAAGATTTCTTGGTAAAGTGATTCACTCATTTTTACTTGGTAGGTAGCAGAGCCAGATTCTCCAACTTGCTAGTTCTGTGAAATACCTTCTTTTGGTTTCTGTAACATCACCCTTTCTGCAGTACCAAACTGAGCTACCAACTGGCCACCTTCCGTCTCACCCAGAATCTTCTGTCATTTTTATTTCCTTCTTTGTTCTGTTTTCCTAGACCAGTGCCTGGTCATTCCATAAATATTTATGGACTAATTGACTTACTGTATGATCTTTAGGGAGATAGTCAACAAATATTATTGACGATTAGTCCACAACATGTATTGACACAGTATGTGTACAATAAATATTTATTGCCTAATTGACTTAGTGTATACCCTTTGGGGAGGGCGACTTGCTAAGAAAAACACTCGATGGGCTGGTATTTATTTGCAAGGCTAATTTATTGACTTTGGAGGTGCCTTTTAGTAACTGTCTTAGGGATCAAGCGGAAGTTCTCAGATTCTAGTAGGAAAAACTTGAACAAACCACTGGAGGCCACTCTTTGGAAAGGGGACTTATTTGCTAGAAATGCAGATTCCTTGTGTTTATTTAGAGACCCGCGTGTCAGTCAAATCTCACCTTTACACAGACGGGTGTCCCGTCTGTCTGTAGTCTTCTGTCTCCACCGGATCTTCAGTGTTGCCAAGGAGATGCTTTTAGCCCTCCTGCTTGTTCTCAGCAGAGCTGCTTTTGAACCTTCTCCTGTCTTCTAAGCTCTGGGTGCCGCCCCCACCCCCTTCCCACTCCAGGCAGATAATGGCGCCTCCCACGTCTCCGAGAACATGGGAGAGGTCAGAAGGAAACACCCTCGTCTTCCCCAACAACAAACCTACTCGGGGTTGCAGCTGCAGGTCTTTCCTCATCCGGTCCCTTGGAAATGAGACGGTTCTCCTTTGTCCCCTGGGCTCTTCAGTGTCCCCAGCTTCAACGCCAGGTTCCCTCTGGTGGCTGAGCCTTCGCTTCCCTCCGCTGTGAGTTTCCTAGGGCGGGCATAACCAATCGCCACCAACTGGGACCCTTAACACAGCAGAATTCATTCTCTCTGAGATCTGGAGGCCAGAAGGCCGAAATCCGGGTGTGGGCAGGACTGGTTCCTCCTGGAGGCACTGAGGGGAAGCTGTTCCAGCCTTCTCTCCTAGCTTCTGGTGGTGGCCGGCAAGGCTTGGCTTGTGGACACTTCACTCCAGTCTCTGCCTCCACGTTCATGCGGCCGTCTTCTCTGTGTCCTTTTCTGTCTCTCACAAGGACACTCTCATTGGATTTAGGGCCCTCTCTAATCCAGGATGATTTCATCCATCCCTACCTTGCTTACATCCTCAAAGACTCTATTTCCAACTGAAGTCACATCCGAGGTTCTGGGTGGACGGGAAATTTTGGCAGGGGCTCTATTCAACCCACTACGCCCCCTCAGCTGTGTTTCTTGACTTCCTTCTCCTCTCAGCTCCTCAATTCCCAAATCCATTGGGATCCTTCTCAGACTTCCAGGCTGTCACCTCCGTCTAGAACATGGATTCTCAAACTTGGCTGCACGTTGGAATCACTTGGGGAGTTATAAAAAAAAATGATGCCTGAGTCCCACCCCGGAAACTGTGATTCAGGTGGTCTGCGGTGCAGTCTGGGCCGGGAGACTGTCAGAGGCCCTGGTGATTCTGACGTGTGGCCAAGTTTGAGACCCACTGACTTCGCCTCCCTGCCACCCTGTCTTTCAATCAGTCAATTAATTCCTCCTTATCCAAGGCTCCTGTTTAGACAACCCCTTGGGGAGGAAGCTTGCCCTGATCCCAGAGGGTGCGGGATCTTTGTGCTCTGACAACCGATTTACTTGTCAGTCTCTCTCACGTAAGGGCAGGGACCCGTGAGTGTCGGCCAGGGCCTGGCCCATAGCAACTGTCTCTAGAATGTTTGTTGAACAAAAATGAAAGAACGAAAACAAGCATCTTCCAGGCTGCCCGGTGGAAGAGAGAGGCCTCGATGAGACAGCGGGGAGATGTCCAGAGTGCAGACGCCTTGTCCCATGAGAACCTTCCCGTGGGGTTTCTCCTGCCCCACAGAGGGGCCTCTCCGTTCATGGAGTTTCAGAAAATACCGAAAGCAATTTTCCACCCAGCCCTGCCCGCTCAGAGCACAGAATGTCAATTCACTTTGCAGGAATTGGGGGGTGGATATAGGGTGTGGACTACAAAATGGATTTTCTCACATGCTCTTTTCAATCTCTCCCTTTTTGTGACATAAATATGTTTTACTGAAGTCTAATTGAGATACGATAAATCGCACAGGCTGTAACTCTTCAGTTCAGTGATTTTTGACAATTGTGTGTACGGCGTAACCACCTCTCAGAACAAGATACAGAGCGTTTCCTTCACTCCTGAAAGTTCCCCCAGGAGCTGACCCCTTTAGTCAGCGCCTCCACCCCAGCCCCACACACACGGGCAACCGCTGTTCTGATCTCTATCACCATAGATTAGCTTTCCCTGTTCTAGAACTTTGTATAATGGAATGAGACAGTGTGTACCCTTGTGTGTCTGGCTGTTTTTACTCAGCACGATGCTTTTGCGATCCGTGGCTGTCATCGCGTGATTCGGTAGTTCATTCCTTTTTATTGCTGAATGGTATTCAATTGTATGGATATAACAATTGTTTATTTACCATTGATAGACATTTGGGTTGTTTCTGGGGTTTGGGTATTCTGGATAAGGCTGTTATGAACATTCTTGTTCAAGGCCCTTTGTGGACAAATGCTTTCATTTCTCTCGGG